ATGGATCAGAAACGAAAATATAGACATCGAAAGGAGGAGAAGTACAAGACATTGTATGTTGTGATTTTAACTGCAATGTGTACGAATGTGCCATTGATTTTGAAAAGACGTTTGATAGAGTTCAGTATGAAAAACTGCTGGCAATACTCAAAACAACGAGACCAGACGACAAGGATACAAATAATTGTAAACCTGTATTGGAACATTCTAGTCAGAACGAATAAAGAACCAAAAATAAGTGTGGCTATCAAACGCGTAAGCTACAATATTTTGGAAACATCATGCGAGACCCCGAAAATTATGGACTGCTACATGTAATCATGAAAGGAAAGATAAACAGCAGAAGAGGCCCCGGACGAAAAAAGACATCCTGGTTGACAAAGTTAAGTCAGTGGTATGGTCAGTCCTCTGTGGAATTGTTCCGAGCAGCGGTAAACAAGACACAAATCGTCAACATAATAGCCAGCATGACAGCCAGGCCAAGAAGTATAGTACATAGAAAAACCTGGTCGTTGCAAGTATGATATGAATGGATAAATTCAATTCCTTCCACTCATTTAAAAAAAATAAAAAATGTGCAAAATACTTCTTTTAAGATAAAAAACAAAAAGTTATTTTTCTGCCATATTTGTCGCGCGTTATCATCCTGATGGTTGGCTTTTGAATCTTTATTTTTAAAAAAATCACCCTCTTACATTTTTAGCATTTCTTTTGAAATACACTGTATATGCAAATTCTCACTGCCATTACTAATAATTATTACTTTTAAGCTGTTCAAATATCGTTTTATTAATTAGGATATGCACATTAGTATGGAATACCTTATAAGAGAGGGATGAACTGCTTTCTTATTTCTAATTAGTAAATAAAAGGTTTTGGTCCTGCATAATTTCTAAACGGAGTAGAGAAATTTCATTCAGCTATAGGTTAATGCCACGATAAATGCTGTAATTGCTACCGCCGGTGAAGCGAACTGGTTAAATCGCCAATGTAAATTAATTGAAATTAAAAGCTGAGCGATAAAATCGATAAAAAAAAACAAAACCTCGCATTAACCAAATAATGAAAAATGTATTGCGGTGAATGTTGGCATGTTTTATGCATTACGCGTTTGTTTATCGTAATTAAAACGTTAGAAAATAGTTCTTTGCGAAAAAGCTCAATGCAGAGATCGATGAATGACGGACTCTTCTCATTATATTTATACAGATCGTCTGTTTTAGCAATAGCAGCGATATTTAAAATCGATAAACATGATTTAAAGTGTTAAACATAGGTTGACAATATTCACTTCTAAGCATTTAAAAGTATAATCTTTATTTATAGAAATGTCATCAATGTCATTCATATTTGCTGATCGCTTCATCAAATTTAAACGATAATGTAATATATTATTCACATAATTGTGAACATTAATTTAGTGCACGAGAAGTAAGCATTTTGTTATATTTTACAATTTTACAAATAAATTAACAATTTTAAATTTTGTGTAATTGACGGAAAACATTAAATTTAATTATCTTAGTTTTAGTTTGATATCTTTAGGAACCTATCGGTATTTTTTTTTAATTTACCTCAGCAATCTGATATCTAGCAGTCAGTTGACTTATATTTAAGTTAATTATATATAATAATATGTTTATATAAATTTGTATGTATGTCCTATAAGTGAGGTTACGAAATTTTTATTGACATTCCAAAAATCACTTGCTTGCAGCAGCTTAATTAGTTAACCTAATTAAACTCGGAGTGTTCAAGGTTATTTGTTAAAATTTAATAATTAAACTAGCGTTCTTATATTACATGCAATTTGGGAATTGTCCCATCAAAGCAATTAATAGAGTGAAGCTCTTTCGTTTTTTCGTCCTTCCAATATCACAAATTCCAAAATTCTTTAAACTATTCACTCAAAAGTAAGAAAGCAAAATATAAGATATTTGAATATATTTTTAAATACTGCTTTTAGTTTAAATATTTTTATATCAAGGTTATGTGTTATAAGAACAAGAAATCGAGAAGTAAATGACAGTATTATTTAAACGTTTATTAAAAATAAATACATCCATATTTTTGAAATATATTCGGATGATAATATTTTAAAGTTTCATTAACAGATGGCAATAGTTGTTTGAACATCAGATGTATGAAGACATCAATTTATTTTTTAGGTTTTATTATAACAAAACTTTCGATGGGGGTGCCACACGTACGGAAAAACCGCAAAACCGGAGCATAAAAATGGCAAGTAAATGACCTTGAGAAACAAAATGTTCATAGGCGTGTCACGAACGTGCCAACTGCTAATGGTCGAACACTGTCACGCCGGATTGTGTTGCATTTCTTTCACGCAACTAACTACGTAGTACGTGTCGTACTGCTGAATGGTTAGATATCACTTAGTATCAAGGTATTACCTAAATAGACCAAACTGATGCCTATTACTTATCCCATGGTATGGCCTAGCTTCTAGTGTCTTCTATTGCAGCGTTCCATTCAATAGTGAATGCTTGGTCGGAACGTGAAATATTATTGCAATTTCAATGCAGGGTCATTTTATCGTACCAGCTAGTTATAAATTATACGATACCGCTGCCAATTGCAGTAGGTAAACATTACATCTGGTAATTCGAATATAATATAATATTTTCAATTTGACGAACAGATTGATTATTTATGTTTTTTTTATGGGTGAGTCACTAAAAAAATATGTACATTGAAATTCACTTTTTGGAAACAACACAAAATTCCCCGGATATATTTGATTCCCCGGAAAAACCTTGAAATTATGTGTGCAGTTTTCCGAAAAATATCAAAATTTCCAACACCGCTCTAATCATTTTATGACGTCACAAGCACGCACTGATACTAAAAACCTCATTTCTTAATAATATCAATAATAGTAAATTAGCGTACCGTAAAAAAATTGCAAAGAGAAACAAAATTAAAGCACAATGACCTTTCTCAACCAACCGGGGGATTACTCCCAGCTAGCAATAAAAATCTAGATACCAGTTTCATGTGCACACTGTACACCAATTGGAATAATTAACAACAACAAATATGTAACATGTCAACAACAGAAAAAAAGGCTTGCTTTCAAAGAATAGCAGGGTAGTGATATTATTACTACATATATTACAATAATAATGCTGGAACCCAAATCTATTGATGTTCCTCATCAGTTATTGTAACACTTTGGAATATGTTCCAGAAATGTGTATTTAATTGCACTCGATATGAATGATTACAAGCATATTCTTCCTGATTAAAGATCGGGAAACCATTCGCGTCATATTTGTTTGGTATGGCTATAAATTTACTTTTCGTATGCGCCAGCTGTTACGAGTCAATAAATTGAGAGACAATGCCGGTAGTAGTTACCATATGGGTTGCACCACGGTCCCATTAAAAAATGACGCGAAATTCTTTCGTATTTTTGTACTTGGATTTGTTGTGTTGCAAGAAAGCTATTTTTTGGGCAACCGCATTACAGTTAATTGCGGTCTAATGTACATACATGTTAAGCAATAATTTCGATATGCGACCCATAAAAGCGATTTGCAAATTTGCAATATAAGTATAACATAGAATATATATTTAACGCGAGCGAATTATTGGTAAAACCTTTTTTTAAAAAGTCTCAAAAGCTTTACCTCTTCGCTAGTTTAAAATAACCACTAAAGGCTAATGAGTTGTTTTTTCATCTTCATTATGGCCATCGAACTTGCATATTTGATATGATTTTCTCAATTAATGCAGCAACATATGTTTTCAACTAACGCCAAATGCTGGTCTGTTATCCGGGTAGTATTAATTAATAACTATTAAATGACCTATTACAAATTAAAATATGGGCTCACAAAATGTTATTAATTATTACATGCATTAGTGTATAATTGATTGATAGATTTATTTAGAATTATTACATAATGTTTTAATTTTGGGTCATCATTATTTCCATATAAATGTTGAATTAATAAACGTGTAATTCTTATTTTACTATTACTTTAATCTTGATTCGTTCTAGGCATTTATTGATTAATACGTTACCAACCCACTTTAAACTCTGGAATCATGGCAAATGAAAAAAATTTTTGTTATGAAGTTCCTATGTTTGTATTTTAAATAGCCATTATTTCTTGCGAATAATAGACTTTTCCGCTCATACGGATATTCGAATACAGTTTCCTGTAACTTATGTGGGAAAATAACACTGTGGCAACCGATATGGCAACGTAACCAGGCATTATATGCAAAAAGGAAATAATTTCGTCACACCATTTAATTAGAATTGGATCCGCAAGTAATTGGGAAAATTTCCGTTAAATTGGTATTTAGTTTCATTTAAAAAAATAGTTTTGCATGCTAATTATTACATGGACAATTCTTCTAGATGTCGACCAGATATCCAGAAATTTGAGTCAAAAATAGAAACCAAATTTCCGTTCAAAAAATTCAACCGACTTGTTACTTTATTTTAAGTTTGGAACTAGCAATGTCCATCCTTAGCCAACGTTTTAGTCCAATAAAAATTAATTTAATTTGTTTGTTGAACGACTTATAAATAAGGGTAGAATAATATTATGACAAAAACCAAAATTTAATTGAAAATTCGAGCAGCCACAGTTGTATATCAAAGAATTAACAATTATGTTTTTAAGTGGGACTTATTATTAGCAAAAACGCGAAATATATTTTTAATTGTCTTGCAATTGGTACAATCATTTTAAAAAAATCCTGTTACTGCCGAACCGATCTTTAAAAAACATTACACTGGGAAGTTTTTAATGAATTAATTTTGTATCCCATTTCATTTGATTCCATTCCCACAAAACAAATATATGATTGCTCAAATTATCTAGCATTTCAGAAATGATTTAAAAATATTGTTTTTAATAAAAAAAATTCAAAATGTTGAAAAAATTATATTTTGGTTGATTGTTTTTTTTTAATGATATTTAGAAAATTCGATTGAGTTCAGTTCAAGTTCAACTACTTACCGAATTTTAACCAAAGCGAAAGTCCAGAACCCGCCCCCCAAAATTGCAGAACTTCTTACAAAAAACTAGCACCGAACCTCCTTATCAGCCAGTGTTCACAATGACACTCAAAAAGTGACACTAAGAGATTATCAGACGCACCCCCCTGTTTTAAATAACTTCGGTAAAACAAGTGAAAGTATAAAGCTCTTTCGGTGGAGCGTTCGTTTCATACGCGGGATCACTTCGTTACCAATCTTGCGCGAGCGGCTACGCACTCCCTGCGGTTTATTCTGTTGAATTTATCGGAAATTTTGCATACGGTGCGGGTCGGGACGGTAGGGAGGCCAAACTGAACCTTTGGTGGAGCGGGCTTGGATTTTATATGGTCTGGGCAGATTTTTTTTTCTACAAGAAATACAAGAAACTGTTCACCGGTAGTTCAAAAACGCTTGCAATGTTTTAATTATCGTGGTCTACTCAGCGAAATTTTTGATTGAATGCATGCAATTTCCTTGGGCATTCATTATCGGAGATTGTAGCGTAAAAATTTGAAATTGTTTTTGAACAGCCCATACAGCAGCTTGTGATTAGGAATATCGATCTCAAGTTACAATCAACTGTTTATGTTCTGATTGAACTGAGTCAGTATGTCCCAGCCATTCGGAAAATTACTTGCTACCTAAGAAATCAATAAAGATTTACCTTAGATAATACATAGCTGTCAGGTTTTCTTCTGGTATTAGCTGGTATCCCGAAGTATAGTGTCATCACATTTTTCCATCCGTGTATCAATACGTATATATATATATATATATATATATATATATATATATATATATATATATATATATATATATATATATATATATATATATATATATATATATATATATATATATATATATATATATATATATATATACTTAAGAAATGGTTCTTGGGTTTTTTTTTGGTCCTTTTTTAGTGAAATTAAAATAAGTTTCCGTTACTTGTGAAACATTTTATTTTTTGTGACGTTTCGGCCTTCAAGACCTTCTTCAGACATTTAATTTTAACCTACAAAAATGTGTTTTTAAATAAAATTATTTATAGCATTGTTTTCCTGGTCATAATTAAAACATAGATAAAAATTTGTATAGGAGTCAGCATTGAAATGATTAAAAATTACTAGTGCAAGTCAATAGAACAAACAAAGTGATTAAAAATTGTATAAAAATAGATGCACAACAATTAAACATACATAATTTTTTATATTACGATTACATACATACCTTAAGCCAAAAATCAACGGTTCACTATATAGTTGTTTGGTAATTTACAGTTTTACAACATTCACAACAGACATATGGAATATGTAAATCGACAAGCCACATTGATAAGACGACGAACCAAAACAATAATGCGAAGCCCGGATGTACGTTTCTTCACAGTAGGACAACGGAGTTTTTTTTTTTTTCTAAAGCTTTTTTTTTTTGTTTGTGTGAGATTCACGGGTTAATGTGTCTCTTTATTTAATTAAGTTGTGATAAATTTTGCTGAGATTTTTTGTGTCAGTCTTAGGGTTTATGGCGTTTGGATTTTTTTGGATCTCAATCATTTCATAAAATTCCCGTCTTTTTGTGTGCCTTTCTGAGCGTAAAATTTTCACACTTTGAAAGTCAAACGAGTGCTGATTCTCCCTGGAATGGCTCGAAAGAGCAGTGTTATTTTTTTTGTCATATTTATGGCCGTTTAAGCGACTTTTTAAGTATTGACTAGTTTGTCCGATGTAGACACCGTTACAATTTTGGCACGGTATTTGGTACACCACGTGGCTTTTTTTCTCGTCAGGGATTTTTTATTTTAATTTACTAAAGTTTTGTTCTAATAGGTTATAACCTTTGTGTGCCACAGTAATGTCGTGTTGTTTGAACACATTGCACAAATTTTCCGATAGCCCTGGAACGTACGGTAATGGGAGATATTGTTTTTGAGTATTTTTCTTCTCGGATTTGTTACCAGCATTTTGATTGTAAAATTTATGTATCCGTTTATTGAAAATTTTATTTATTAATACATCCAGATAACAGTTTAATTTTAGGGCTTGTTTTGCTTTTTTAATAGCTTGCTGTCTGTACTCAGGATCGGACAGTTTAATAGCTCGGTCGGCTAAACCTATTATTACGGATTTTTTTTGAGTGATGGGATGTTGGGAGTTGAAACTTACATACCTAGATGACCAAGTATCTTTGGTGTACCATTTGGTTTTGATCTGGTCTTTGCTATGGTATAGAGTCAGGTCTAGAAAGTTAATGACGTTATTTTTTTCGATCTCTATTAAAAATTGAAGTTTGTCGTTGTATGAATTAAAATTCTCTAGAATATTATGGATTTCAGTTTTTGGGACAGCACTTACGCAGTCATCGACATAACGATAAAATAGGGGGATATGAAGATTTATATTTTTTAGTACGGATTCTTCCAAATCTTCCATTACTAACTGTGCAATAACACTGGAAATCGATGCTCCCATTGCACAACCATCGACCTGCTTGTAATATTTGTCATTGAATAAGAAATAGGTTGATGTTAATGTTAATTCTACAGCTTCAAGAAAGTGATTTAACGGAATATCTGTGAAATGTTTAATTTTTGGCCATTTTTTCTTTATTATATCTTTAGCTAAAGGGATGGGAATATTTGTGTATAGAGAAATGACATCTAACGAGATCAAAACATAGTTTTCAGGTATTCTGACATTTTTATCTTTTCTTTAAAATCGAAAGGGTTTTTGATGTAATATTGATTTTGATTTATAACGTTTTGTAGTATTTGTCATGTCATGGGCACCTAAACAATGATCCGACCATTTCTAGTAAAAAAAGATTTTATTGCCTTTGATACACAATAATTATTAAATTGTCATATGCACGGCCTACTTAAACAAAAAACGAAAAATACCGTATATCTTATTTTTTATGACAATTACTAACAACCGTACGTGATTGAATAGAACTCATCTGCCGTACAAAACAAGACATTTTCAGTGTAGGAAAATGGAAAAATATAAAAAAAAATCTCAAGTCGGCACTCTGTCTAAATCAGAAATTTTTATAAATAAAAAAAATAATAACTTGCAAAAAGGTAAAATATCTCGATTGGTATTGACTGGTGCGATTTTAGAAATAGGTTTTCCTTGTAACAGTACCAATTACGACCAGTCTGTAATGATCTATTGCAGTCAGAGGAAATTATGAAGCCGACTTCCTGGGCAGAAGGACAGGTGGCCTAAACTTTATAGGACCAGGGCCTTCCTCATTAAAAGGCTCATAAAGAAAAATTCTCGGAAACAAATTGGGAAAACTGGGAAAACTGTTGGCTACCTGTGAAGATATGAAGCTATCCAAACGAAACAGCCACTAACTGACTATGTCCAAGAAGAAGCTACGCATGGGCAGAAGTATTGTTACGAGTCATTGCTTACTTAACAGTACTAGCGACTCCTCTGCGCAAACGTCCTAAGTTCTCGTTTAGGCCTTGCTTGGTGAATCATATCTATTCCCAGTGTAATCTAGCGAGAAGCATGGGAAAGCACAGTTGTCTCGCTGAGGCCTAATTGCTGAGTTGTAGACTACTGAAAGATGCAGATACTACCCTGTACAATTGTCATTTGAGTCTCGACAATTTCATTTTTCTTTAAAGTTTTCTTATCTGGATATCTCCAACATTTGTCTTTCTTGCCATTACTTACTTAACTTAATGTCTCAACTTAAACTGTAACAGAAAGAAATGGCCCTCCATTATACGTTTAACTTTAAATATAAGGGACCCATATTATTGGGTACAAAGTTCCAAAGGCATTTTGAACCAAAGTGTTTAAAATTTTGTTCAAATTTGACTTACAACCCGGCGATCAATTTTACTATTGTACATTATGCAACAAGTTTTTTAAACGACACTTTAATCACGAGATTATCTAGATACGAGCGGAGCGCTAAGTAGACGATTGTATGAAAACTATACTTTTTCTGGGACCATTAGATTTTGGTTAAGTTTTTGTAAAACAATACATCAACAAAAATCTACCAAAAACATGGTTTTGATAATAACACTTTTCTATTGGAACTAATGTTTCTATCCGCTTGGAAATTGTTCACATTGTTCATAATACAATGAAGTACGTGGTGGTAGTAGCCCAGTAGCGGTTTTTACCAAAACTAACTTACAATAAAATTTTGGTTTGGTTATTTGGTTTTCTCAAAAGCTGGCCGTCTTTTACCTTACAATAGCTTACTTAACATTAACAACGAGACGCTGTCGGGTGGTTGTCACAATGATCCTTGATTATCCCTTTTACTGGTAAACAGTGAATCAAGAACACAGCAAATTGCGATGCAAATATATTGTTAGGCAGTGCCGAAATTATCTGAAATTTACAAAATTTGTCACTATAGAGTTAGAAATAATATAAAATAAATATGGCTGTCTCTAATGGTGCTTTAGGGATATATATAGCTCGAACGAAAAATTGTTGCGATTGATAAGAGAGAGGATTGTTAAAAATGGGGTTATTCGCATTAACAAATATAATTATTCAACCGGCACTGGTATGAAACCATCAAAGTTCCCAGTAGAAACAATTAGAGATACGAAAAAGCGATTAACAAGTTATTTGATATTAATTTGGTTATTTGATAATATGTCACGTACCTAATTGACCAGTCGCCTTCACTTTTTCGCAGAGCTTGCCTGGTATGTCATTAACGCCATCGCACTCGTTCAAGCGTGACAACAAAAACGCTATCGCTTTTTCAGACTTCTGTTATTGGATTTGTGTGTTCTCGCGCGGGCGGGCAGAGCCATCACAAGGTCGCAGCATTAGCTTTTTAGCACGACTTCTGTTGAACTTTACATCGCTTTCGCATTTACCTTTAGAAGTTTCACAGTGTTATGTTTAACAATTCATATTTTCATTAACGACTGGGCATTGACACACCATATTCGACAATGCCGCAATACATAATCAATAATTTACACGAAATCAGCAGGGTGTTATCTAATTGAATGTCAATAATCCATTTTAAAAAGAAAACTTCATATGAACATATGTCCTAAACGTCTTAATTTTTCAGATATAGGGTGGTAAAGTCTTCAAAAATAAAATATTTTTTCCAATCCGATATGCGGTTTTTCCTTAAAAAACCTCTTCTCCTCATGGTCATAACAATATCGTTAATATGACGGCCTGCAAAGAAATTAGTTTTTAATTTTAAGTGACACGGACTAAAAAAATATTAAGAGATCAAATCTGCTTCAATTTTTTTTAAGGAAATCAGTGGCGTGCCGC